AATAATAATAATAATAATAAAAAATAAAAGACAAGCACGTCAATTTCGTCGTCGTCGTCGTTCGTCGTCGGTGTCATTTTTTTTGTCATAAGTGACCTGTCAAGGAACAGACAAAAGAGAATCGCGTTAAGACAATCAAGCACAGTAGTGGGTCCGGTGTTTATATTATATATATAAATATACATATATATATATATAAAGAGGAAAGGAAGAGAGGGAAAACGGGCGATAGATAATTGATAGATAGATAGGTAGATAAATAGATAGATAGATAGATAGATTGATAGATAGATAGATAGATAGATAGATAGATAGATAGATAGAAAAATACATGTATCATAGTAAACAATCAAAGGAGTCATATCTTGCGAGAGAAAAAAAGAGTATTTAATATAAAAATGTATTCAATTGAGATTTCTATATGCATATCTAAATATTGAAGAGAAAAAGGGAAGAGAATTAAAAAAAAAAAGGGTGTGAGATTAAATCGCGAATTTCTACAAATATATAAATATATACATACATACACGCACATTCATACATATATATATAAATATATGTGTATATGTATACAAAAATATGTCTCTATCTAAATTCTCTCTGATAAATATTATAAACGAGGCCTAATTTAAACTCAGTGTCATTCTCTCTCTTTCTCTCAGACACACACACATATACACACTCTCTTTCTCTCTCGTTTTCACACACATATCAATGTCTAATCTTTTTGTATTATCTCTCGGTCTCTCTCTACCTTCTGTGTACATATAAAAACACGCGATATTTAAATACATACATATATATATATATATATACATATAAAAATATATATATATATATATATATATATACATATACACATACGTTTATATGTATACACCCTTTGCACATATCCGATCGTCGTGTCACGACGACGACGGGCTGGCGCATCCTACGAATAAAAATATTTCGGCGTTTCTACGAGGAGAGATGAACGAAGGGAAAGTTTACGAAGTGGTCCGGTGAATAGAGACAACTAAAAACCTCCTCCTCCTTCTCCTCCCCCCTCTTTATCTTCCCTCTTCTATCTTTTTCTATCTCCTATTTCTTCTACCCTTAAGTTTCCTTCTTTCTTTCTCTCTCACACTCTTTGTGTTCCGATCTTTTAAACCGCGTTCTCGTATTTTCTTTTTCTATTTAATATATCTATCCTTGTCGTTGTCATACTGTTTTTTTCTTTTTTTTTTGGAAAATTTCAATGAAAATTATTGTACACATTATTATTATATTATTCCCGTCTCTTTTTAACATTCACTTCTACTATTCTCTCGCTCGCTCACTCCTCGTGAACACGTTACCGAACAATCGATATTATAACAGTAATAATAATAATAATATATAATATATATATATAGATAAAAAAAAAGAGAGATATATAAGAGGAAAAAATAATAAATAAATT